TTTCAGCAACAGCTGGATCCAATCAGGAGATCCAGCCCCTCTGGTGGGAGCGCAGAGACACTCACCCAGGCAGCCACTGCGATGCTGTCCGGGAGCCGACAGACAGAAAGCAGCACACACTGTGGATACATATAACACCCCCACCACCGACAAACACAGCCTACATGCTGACGCCCATCTAATGCAGACTGGAGCAAAGCGAACCAAGTTACCAACCCAACCACCGCTTAATATGGGTTGCAGGGTGGCACTGATGGGATCCTTGCAAGATAGTCACAGGTTCTATTCTAGGATCTTTTTGCATGGTCTCCCTGTACATGCATGGGTTTTCTCTGGGTACTCCAGCATCCTCCCACAGTGCAAAAACATGACTATTTGGTTGATTATGAGCAGGAGAAAGGCACCAGCTCCATCATGACCCTAGCAGATGATGGATGATGATTTTAGTGAGATTCTGTTTTAGCTCATTGTTCCCGGCTTCATCCGTTTAAACACACAACCGAGCAGAAACACCATTTGTTAAACATAGGGTTAGGGTTATGCACCTGATGCGCCCCTTCTGGGTTTTTTTCCCTGAAAAGAGATCAATCAGGACAAACTCTTTAAATAACACTTAATAACTTATATATATCAAATAACCAGAAGACATGGCAACAGATTCTGATAGAAATTGGACAGGCATCCCCAAAGTCGGTCCTTGAGGGCCGCTGTCCTGCAGGTTTTAGTGGTTTCCCTGCTTTAGCACAGCTGATTATTAGGATTGCAGTTGAGCAAAAGCCTGTTATTCTGCTTTCAGTTCAAATCAGCTGTGCTAGAGCAAGGAAATCTGTAAAACCTGCAGGACAGCAGCCCTCGAGGACCGACTTTGGGGATGCATGGCTTAGAGTATACAGAAGGCAGCTGCTCAGCTCTCAGGAAGTGGCCCCGATTAACAGTTAAAAAGTAATTTTATACATCTCCAGTCTGCCACATCATTAGCAGATGAGGAGACATCCATGGCTCCAGCCCTATCAAAATATTACACTTCATTCTTAGCTGAAGGACACCGCTCTCATTCCATTTCCAAATCTTTGCCATGTACAGAATGAAGATTATAACTGTATATCCAGACAGAGGAACTGTCCTAATTAGATTAACTATTGTGGAAAACATCAGTTCTGACACGCAACAGACAGCCAATACCAAGGTAATACCAAGGTATAATAAACACATCTTCAATGATAATTATCCTAACGTTGCATTCAGCATCCTCAGCATGGTATCTTCCTGACCCTATTCTGATCTGTATGACCTTCCAAAATAAAAGTTAAAAACAAACCACTGGACCTTTTTTTTTCCAAGTTTAAAGACATTTCACTTCCTATCCAGAAAGCTTTCTCATTTCCAAATATCTGGATTAGCATTGAGGTCCAGGATTATAGAGCATCTTAAACAAGGCCTTGTTACGGCTTAGAAAACATGCAAATTAAACCGAAAACAGGTCCACCCCTTTGAAACGGGGAGTCATTAAAGTCAATGTTGGCCTGTTTTTTGGTCCCCTGAGTTTCGATGAGGATTGAGATGATAGCGGGAAGGAATCAACTCTATTGCTGCGTTATAGGTTTTCGAGAGCTGAAACCCGATTCTAACCACTCTGTTTAAGTTTTTTTTTTTTTTCTCAAAGTAAATAGCTTCCTTCACACCCATTTCAAACCACCTGTCTTCTTTGTCCAAAACGTGAACATCTGTATGACCCCTTTTGGTTCATGATAGAGACAAGACTATATCTATGCTACGTCACAAGTGGCCGTAATAATCTGTGGTCAAGTTCAGTATGTATAATATTCTAGCAG